TAGTAGTCGTAGTCATCGTCGTCGTAGTAGTAGTAGTAGTCGTAGTAGTAGTAGTAGTAGTAGTAGTAGTAGTAGTAGTAGTAGTGGTAGTAGTAGTAGTAGTAGTAGTAGTAATCGTAGTAGTAATCGTAGTAGTAGTAGTAGTAGTAGTAGTAGTAGTAGTAGTAGTAGTAGTAGTAGTAGTAGTAGTAGTCGTAGTCGTAGTCGTAGTCGTAGTCGTAGTCGTAGTCGTAGTGGGAGTAGTAGGAGGAGTAGTAGTAGGAGTAGTAGTAGTAGCAGCAGCAGTAGTAGTAGCAGAAGAAGAAGGAGCAATAGTAGTAGTGGTAGTAGTCGTAGTAGTCGTAGTAGTAGCCAGAGTAGTAGTAGTAGTAGTAGTAGTAGTAGTAGTAGTAGTAGTAGTAGTAGTAGTAATTGTTGTTGTTGTTGAACCTTAATTACTAAACAATTATTATTGTTGGACCCCTTATATTCGCCCTGGCGCTCTCGCCGAGGCGCCGGCCGCATTTCCTCTGAAATTGAGGCTCACGCTCAGGCGTTTTGGGGTTCCGCCAAAACCGGCCCCCCAACAACAACAACGCTCCGGCTCGAGACTTCCTCCTTTTTTACTCGGGCTCGGTGCTCTTGCTCGCCGCCGAGAGCGGCTCCCGGGCCGGACGCCCGGGTCGGCGCCCGAGCCGGCGCCCGGGCGCCGGAAAATCGAGTTCCGAGGCGGCGCCGAAAAAAGGCCATTCCAATACACATTTTTCTTTCGAAAATGCTGAATTTCTGCTTCCGGCGCCCGGGGAGGGAGGCCGTCCGGGCCGATTCCGGAGCTCGGGCCGGCACCCGGCCCGGCTCCCGGGCCGGACGCCCGGGTCGGCGCCCGAGCCGGCGCCCGGGCGCCAGAAAATCGAGTTCCGAGGCGGCGCCGAAAAAAGGCCATTCCAATACACATTTTTCTTTCGAAAATGCTGAATTTCTGCTTCCGGCGCCCGGGAAGCCGTCCGGGCCGATTCCGGAGCTCGGGCCGGCACCCGGCCCGGCTCCCGGGCCGGACGCCCGGGTCGGCGCCCGAGCCGGCGCCCGGGCGCCGGAAAATCGAGTTCCGAGGCGGCGCCGAAAAAAGGCCATTCCAATACACATTTTTCTTTCGAAAATGCTGAATTTCTGCTTCCGGCGCCCGGGAGGCCGTCCGGGCCGATTCCGGAGCTCGGGCCGGCACCCGGCCCGGCCGGCACCCGGCCCGGCTCCCGGGCCGGACGCCCGGGCAGTTCCGATCGCGCCGAAAAGAGGCCATTCCAATACACATTTTTCTTTCGAAAATGCTGAATTTCTGCTTGCGGCGCCCGGGAAGCCGTCCTGGGCCGATTCTGGAGCGGCTTTGGGCCGGACGCCCGAGCCGGCGCCCGTACGTGGTGCTTCTCTGCTTCTGGCGCCTGCGCAGCTTCCCGAGCCGCTTCTGGAACCATATCTGGGCCGGTCCAGCGATAGGTTTCCTGGATGTGCTGAGCCATCCAACTTTTTGAAACTTCTGCGTCTCAAGGATAGGGAGAGAAGACATTAAAGAAGGATCAAAAAGCAACGTCGCTATGAACGCTTGGCTGCCACAAGCCAGTTCTACTTATTTGGACTACTACTACCGTTACCACTACTACTAGTGCGACAGCCGCAACAACAATATCATCAACTGCTGCTACTACAACTACTCATCCTTCCTCCCCCTCCTCCCCCTCCCTTCTCCTCCTCCCCCTCCCTATCTCTCTCATCTCCCCCTCCTCTTCCTCTTCCTCTCCCTCTGAGATGCGGGGCATGCGCAAGGCGATTGCGAAGGCGATGTGCCGTCCGAGCTATGGATGTTGAAGTTCCTCGGAAGAGGTGGTGGCCAAACCTTCTTGGGCGGGATATCTGGGTGAGGGAATATCGGATCCCGCATGCCAGAAAAATCCCCCATGATGGGGTGTGTTATCCAGATGGATGCATGTGTCATGTGGAAGCATGGCGCATGAGGGTAAAATGATTGTTGTTGTTGTTGTTGGTAGTAGTAGTAGTAGTGTTGTAGTAGTAGTTGTAGTTGCTGTAGTAGTAGTTATAGTCGCATTAGTAGTAGTAGTAGTAGTAGTAGTAGTAGTAGTAGTAGTAGTAGTAGTAGTAGTAGTAGTAGTAGTAGTAGTAGTAGTAGTAGTAGTAGTAGGGAGAGGAGGAGGAGCAACAGAAACAGGGGGGGAGAAGGAGGAGGAGGACGAGGAGGAGGAGGAGGAGGACGAGGAGGTGGAGGAGGAGTGGGATGAAAAGGAGGTGGTGGAGGAGGCGGGGGAAGCCTCCAGGAGTAGGACACACATGATTTGATATGACTTGAGTTGACATGAGTTGAGATGAGCTGAGATGCGATGAGACGAAATGTGGTGATATGTCAAACTATGTTATGCTATGCTATGATATGAAATGAGATGTTGCGGAGGAGGGGGAGGATATTGAGGAGGAGGAGAAGGAGGAGGAGGAGGAGGAGGAGGAGGAGGAGGAGGAGGAGGCGGATGCGGAGTGGTAGGTTGAGGAGGGGGTGGAGCAGAGAGTTTGATGAGAAGGAGAAGGAGGTGGTGGTGGAGGAGGAGGAGCAGCGGCAGCGGTGCGGTGGCAGCAGCTTCAGCGCCTCCCGTTAGAAGCCTGGCCCAGGTCCAGCTGCGCAGGACTAGGGCGCCGTCTACATACGCACCCAGCACTTCATCTGCTCATCGCCCCCCCCAGCCTCCCCCGGAATGCGGGCCGCGGCTAGCGCTGTCCTTGGCTCGCTGCTCCTCCTCTGCGCCGCGGGCGGGGCGGGGGCGCTCCACGCCCGGGAGCTGTCGGTGGCGTCGCCAGGCGCCCGGCGGCCGCCGCGGAGGGGGGAGCCCACAGATCTCCATGCCTCCGGCATGGGGTCGGAGTAGATGGGGTCTGGGGATCGCGCCGCATCGCCGATGCGGCTTGATGTGGGGCCCCATTTTCTCCTTCTCCATGCTGGCGTCGCCGATGCATCGCCCGCGTCGACGCTGCATCGCCTGTGCATCGCCGATGCATCGCCGATGTATCGGCGATGCGACGCGATCCTCCGACCCCATCCACGGAGGCCTCTATCCACAGATCCCAGACCCCCTCGAGTCATGACAAAGATCACGACGGGAGGATTCCCGTTACAGTCAACGCGCCCATTAAGGACGCGAGCCGTCATCTAGGGTGCCCTTGTGTCCTTGCCCCTGCGGCCCGTCCTTTGCCGTTTTCACTGGTCGCCCGCCGCCCAATAAAATCCAAACTTCGGCCTCCCAGGGTCTTGCGTCCTTGCCACCCGTCCTTAATACAGGTTTTGGCTCTGCTGGCGGCCTCCGTCGAGGCCCCCGCCGGGCCCCTTCACCGTCAGACCCGAGACGAACAGCTGGTCCCGGGGAAAGTGTCGAGACCTCTGGGGGTCGACGGTAGGAGCAAGTTATGACGTCGGGAGTCTGGGAGCATTGGATCTCGGGTTTTTGTCGGTTTCGATCGGCAGCGACCGATCGGCACTTCAAATCGGTCGCGTTGTCGGCGCTGAGTTCTGCTTTTCTGGCTGAGATGCTGGCTTTGGAGTGGGCGCTTGGAGTGTTATTGGCGACGCTCGTGGGTGGAGCGCTGTAGTAGTGATGCAGTGGGTAGGGGTGCGCGCCAGACGCATTGACTTGAATCGTAAATGAACGAGGCAAAAGTCGGTCGCGACCGATCGCGATCGATTCCACAGTCGGCCGCGACCGATTTGGGACCACATCGGTCGCGCTCGATCCCGGAATTTGGAGCAGGATCAGTCCGGGGGGCTCCCCCCCGGGCACTGAGCCTTCGCAGGTTCGATGCAGGTCGACACATGCAGCAGCAAGAGGGGGCCAAGGGTCTAAGCTTAAGGCGGGCATGTCCCTCTACAGGAGGAAAGTTCAAAAATAGTCCAAATATAGTCTAGGGACGATTTTCTATATTTCCCAACCAACCTGTGTTGTTGGGTCCTCGTTTTGAAGACACGGTCCCCGCGTTCCTCCTCCACCTCCTCTCCTCTCCTCCTCCCCCTCCTCCCTCCTCCTCCCTCCTCCACTCAGTACAGCGTTTCGTGGCCCCATAGGGAGCTCCACCGAAGGCCCCAGCGCCACCGTCCACATGCGTCCCCCCCACTGAGTACAGCGTTTCGTGGCCCCATAGGGAGCTCCACCGAAGGCCCCAGTGCCACCGTCCACATGCGTCCCCCCGCTCAGTACAGCGTTTCGTGGCCCCATGGGGAGCTCCACCGAAGGCCCCCGTGCCACCGTCCACATGCGTCCCCCCCACTCAGTACAGCGCTTCGTGGCCCCATAGGGAGCCCCACCGAAACCCCCAGTGCCACCGTCCACATGCGTCCCCCTCTTTCAGTACAGCGTTTCGTGGCCCCATAGGGAACCCCACCGAATGTCACAGTGCTACCGTCCACATGCGTCCCCCCACTCAGTACAGCGTTGCGTGGCCACATATGGAGCTCCACCGAAGCCCCCAGTGGGACCGTCCGAGTGCGTCCTGAAACACCCAATCTGGCATTTTCACAAACCCATTACAGCGTTTCGTGGCCCCACAGGGAGCTCCACCGAAGGCCCCAGTGCCACCGTCCGCATGCGTCCCGCACGCCCAATGTGGCATTTTCACCTACCCAGTGCAGCGTTTCGTGGCCCCACAGGGAGCTCCACCGAAGGCCCCAGTGGGACCGTCCGCAAGCGTCCCGAAACACCCAACGTGGCATTTTTACTGACTCAATACAGCGTTTCGTGGCCCCTTAGTGAGCTCCACCGAAGGCCCCAGTGGGACCGTCCGCAGGCGCCCCGGAAGCCCAATTTGGCATTGTCACCCACCCAGTACAGCGTTTCGCGGCCCCATAGGGAGCTCCACCGAAGCCCCCTGTGGGACCGTCCGCATGCGTCCCGGAAGCCCAATTTGGCATTTTCACTTACCCAGTACAGCGTTTCGTGGCCCCATAGGGAGCTCCACCGAAGCCCCCAGTGGGACCGTCCGCATGCGTCCCAGAAGCCTTACTTGCGTTCCCCCCCACCCAGTGCAGCGCTTCGTGGCCCCATAGGGAGTTTCACCGAAGAAGATTTTCACAATTACGGTACCAACAACTGCATATGGTTGGGTTTTTCGCCAGGATAATTCTTACTCAATTTTATCATGTTTCGCGTATTTCCCAACCAACCTGTGTTGTTGGGTCCTCGTTTTGAAGGGACGGTCCCCGCGTTCCTCCTCCTCCTCCTCCTCCTCCTCCTCCTCCTCCTCCTCCTCCTCCTCCTCCTCCTCTCCCCTCCTCCTCCCCCTCCTCCCTCCTCCTCACTCATCCCCCTTTTCCTTGCGTTTCACCCACCCAGTACAGCGCTTCGTGGCCCCATAGGGAGCTCCACCGAAGGCCCCAGTGCCACCGTCCACATGCGTCCCCCCCACTGAGTACAGCGTTTCGTGGCCCCATAGGGAGCTCCACCGAAGGCCCCAGCGCCACCGTCCACATGCGCCCCCCTTCCACTCAGTGCAGTGCTTCGTGGCCCCATAGGGAGCCCCACCGAAGGCCCCAGCGCCACCGTCCACATGCGCCCCCCCACTCAGTACAGCGTTTCGTGGCCCGATAGGGACTCCACCGCAGGCCCCAGTGCCACCGTCCACATGCGTCCCCCCCACTCAGTACAGCGCTTCGTGGCCCCATAGGGAGCTCCACCGAAGGCCCCAGTGCCACCGTCCACATGCGCCCCCCCCACTCAGTACAGCGTTTCGTGCCCCCATAGGGAACTCCACCGAAGGCCCCAGCGCCACCCATAGGGAGCTCCACCAAAGGCCCCAGTGCCACCGTCCACATGCGTCCCCCCAACTCAGTACAGCGCTTCGTGGCCCCGTAGGGAGCTCCACCGAAGGCCCCAGTGCCACCGTCCACATGCGTCCCCCCCACTCAGTACAGCGCTTCGTGGCCCCATAGGGAGCTCCACCGAAGGTCCCACTGCCACCGTCCACATGCGTCCCCCCGCTCAGTACAGCGCTTCGTGGCCCCATAGGGAGCTCCACCGAAGGCCCCAGCGCCACCGTCCACATGCGTCCCCCCCCACTCAGTACAGTGCTTCGTGGCCCCATAGGGAGCCCCACCGAAGGTCACAGTGCTTCCGTCCACATGCGTCCCCCCCACTCAGTACAACGTTGCGTGGCCACATAGGGAGCTCCACCGAAGCCTCCAGTGGGATCGTCCGAGTGCGTCCTGAAACACCCAATCTGGCATTTTCACCTACCCATTACAGCGTTTCGTGGCCCCGCAGGAAGCTCCACCGAAGGCCCCAGTGCCACCGTCCGCATGCGTCCCGCACACCCAATGTGGCATTTTTCACCCACCCAGTGCAGCGTTTCGTGGCCCCGAAGGGAGCTCCACCGAAGGCCCCAGTGGGACCGTCCGCAAGCGTCCCGAAACACCCAATGTGGTATTTTCACCCACCCAGTCTAATAATTTCTTGGCCCCGTAGGGAACTCCACCGAAGGCCCTAGTGCCACCGTCCGCATGCGCCCCGGAAACCCAATTTGGCATTTTTACTAACTCAATACAGCGTTTCGTGGCCCTTTAGTGAGCTCCACCGAAGCCCCCAGTGGGACCGTCCGCAGGCACCCCGGAAGCCCAATTTGGCCCCAGTACAGCGCTTCGTGGCCCCATTTGGAGCTCCACCGGAGCCCCCAGTGGGACCGTCCGCATGCGTCCTGGAAGCACAATTTGGCATTTTCACTTACCCAGTACAGCGCTTCGTGGCCCCATGGGGAGCTCCACCGAAGCCCCCCGTGGGACCGTCCGCATGCGCCCCGGAAACCTTACTTGACACACCACTCACCCAGAACAGCGCTCCCCCCCACCCAGTGCAGCGCTTAGTGGCCCCATAGGGAGTTTCACCGAAGAAGATTTTCACAATTGCGGTACCCACAACTGCATATGGTTGGGTCATTCGCCAGGATGATTTTGATTATTCGTCCAAAGTCCGCCTGTGGGGGGACATGCCCGGCCTAAGTCAAAGCCAGATGAAGGGGCCGCTGAGCCAGTTCAGCCCAGATTAGGCTTCGGACTCAGCCAGATTGAGCCAGATTGAGCGTGACTCAGCGTGACTCTGCTGGCGTAGGCCCAGTTTTCCAACACGGACATATCAGCGTTTAAGCTGATGCTGAATTCGAACTCAGTCGGTATTTTTCACGGTGCTATGATTTTTGTCGCGACGTTGGACCCCCGACGCTATGTTTTTGTTGTAAGCCCGGCCTGTTCCTTCGACTTCGGCCCGTCAGGACCGCTCTCGGGACCCAGGACCATCACGAGTGGATCAGAGGGGAAAGATGGCCTGGGGAAGGGGACAGGAGCTCTGGCGCCGCGGATTGAAACAATTATTCTCGACGCTTCGCGTATCCCCACCAGCGCTGTAGGTGTAGCCTCCCTCCGTCGCCTTAGGCTTATTCGTCGCTGCGTGCCCCGCTTTGACTGGACTCGCCGCCGGCGCGCTCGCCCGCGGCCGCTGACAAAAAAAATATCCCCACCATCTCAGGCGTGTGGCCGATCCGTTCAGGTTTTCGGTGTCGATCCCTTCCATCGTTTTCCTGGCTGGCTATTCCTCTCGTTCTCGGAGAGGGGATTGGCCAGGATCTTTTCTCTCAGGAGTGAGTGTGCGATTTCGGTGGCGCCACTCGTACTGGTTCCTGGTCAGTGACGTATTCTTGGCCATCGGTGTTAGTACTACCTCCTGGAGTGTATTGCAAGCGAGCTGCCCCCCTCAGGGGCTGTGTGCATGGACCCCTCGTGTGGTTTATCCTGCGTCAAGTCCTACACGCCCTCAGCGGTCACTTGT